TTCAGTCATGTCAACAACCAATCTCAGCTGAGTCATTGTGATCAACCACACAATGATGTGAGTCAGTATTAAGGTGGCCAAAATAACCAGATTATGATGTGCAGCCCTGATTTAAAATCAGACAGACATAGCCACAGTCCATTAGCCTCAATAAAATGGCACAATGTAATTTCCATAAATTACTGTAGTTTCCTCCACATTTCAAGCAGGCAATGCATAAACTGCCATTAGTATTCACAGCATGTTATACCTCTTTCCATAGCAAACTCCAAGTCTGGAATGACTCCAAACTCAGGCTTCTCCCTGGTCTCAGCAAAACCCATCATTCCACATCAAGATGACTTTTACAGGTGCAGTCCCAATGAACAACAAATAATAATATACAAACATGTTTGGTTTTACTGTAACTATATTTCTTAGTATTGATTTAAAAATCTGTAATTTTCACACCAGTCTGAATTTTCTTATCCAAATCTTGGCTATTTTATACTACAAAATATCTGGATATTTCTCTTCTTAAAATTTTAAAATCTGTTTGCGTTTATTCATTTATTTTTATTTTATGGGTGAGTAGGTGTGTGTGTGTGTGTGTGTGTGTGTGTGTGTGTGTGTGTGTTCAATAGTATGCATGTGAAGGTCAGAGGATAACTTGCAGGAGTCAATTCTATCCTTCTTCCACCATGTGGGTCCCAGGGATGGTAGTCAAATTATCAGGTACCTTTACCTGCTGATCCTCACCAACACTCCTTGAATCTCTTTCCTAGTATGAAAGGACAGACATATTCTTGTCTGTTTTACTTCTCTGTGCCAATTTCTTTATCTATGAAATGCCCTAGCTTGCTTATCTTTAACACAGTCCTGACCAACAGAGACGAAAGATATAAAAAGTTGGTAAAGTTTGCCACAAAGAACGTGTTCAGTAAATGGCAGCTCCTGTTTTATCATTTTTACTATCCTATGGCTATGGATGCCATTTTGAAGCATTAATATTCTGTGTAGTAAAGTAATTTTCAGAGTCAGGTAAGTCTATATGTTTAGAAATTTGAATATGGCAAACATGAAGAAAACTTATGAAATGTCTACATTCCTAATTGAAGCATTCTGTATACTTTTAGCATTGGGAAGGGTGACACATTCTTTTCTGACTCACGCAGATGTGTTTATCTCTTCTGATTAAAAGAAAAGTGTTTCCAGATGCAACTGTAAAGATGTAACTATTAGCTAGAAAAAAATCTGTTGCAAAGCAGATTTTCACATTTAAAGAGCTAAAGTGATTGTATTTGACTGTGTTTTAGGCATCCAGAGACCAACAGAAACTGCAGACTTAGAAGATAATCAAATAGATATTTTATAATTAACCAGTAAATAGTACTACTATTTATCAAAACACTTGCCAGAAGTATCAGATTTATTCCCATAAACAGCTGATTTTTCCACATTCTAAGAAGAACAAGGGGTTATCTTGGGACATGGGAATTTGAACTTGCTGCAGAGTGGTAAAATCATAATGCATGCAGAGAAGAACTTGATTTGTCAGTTCTCAGCCCAGAACTGCCCTCTTCCCACAGAGCCTGGAGATGTTCCAGGCTCCTACGCTTATTCTTTACTTTCTAGCAGAGTGGGAGCTCTTTCTGTGAGCTTTTCTAGGCGTGGAAGAACATAGCCTAAGCAGGATGGAGCTTTGCTCCACACTAGAACTGTGCTAAGGATGATGTGGCAGTATTTTATAAAACCTGCCGAGCAGATTTTAATTTCTATAGACCACACCAGCCTCCAACAATACTGCAAAAGAAGGGAAGACTCCTAATCACAAGCCATTGCCCATCATTGAGCATCTGTTGCCCTCTGACTCCCCACAGTCCCTCTCCATGAGCATCACTTGTGATGGAGGGACATAATATCTCTGATTATACCATTAAGCTTTTATAAAAAAAAAAAAACATGCCCAACACCAAGAATTCGGATCTAACTAGTCTAGATAAAACTATAGGCAAGGTTTTCATTTTGTTTTGATGTCTTTGGTGGGTTTTATTTTGTTGTTGTTGTGTTGTTTTGTTTTGACCCAAGCAGATGCTCTTAGACACAGGCAAAGTTGAGAATCACTGGTAAAGAACAATGCTTGTTCATTTCTCAGTTTGGTCTGTTCATCACTTGCAACAGAATCACCTATGATACCTAGGAATCACATATTCTTGGGCATGCAAATACCCCGAATCTACATTTTGGCAACCCTCTCATAATGCCAAATGAACAGTAATGTTGACAGAATTTTCCTTTCAGAATTCATCCATATTTAGCTACATTCCCTAATAATGAGATGAAAACATAAAGAAAAAAGTTCATTTTATTAAAACTTACCCACCTTTTCCATACTAACTGAATACCATTAAGAGCACTGAAGACCACGTGGAGCCATGGGTCCAACCTTCCTAATGCTGCGACCTTTTAATATAGTTTGTCATGCTGTGGTGACCCCAACCATAAAATTAGTTTCGTTGTTACTTTATAACTGTAATTTTACTACTGTGGTGAATTGTAAGGTAAATATCTGATATGCAACCCCTGTGAAAGGTTGAGAACAGCTGACTTAGAGGGTAGTTTCAACAGTGAGATAGGATGAGAGGATGGGTTTGTTTGTCTTAGGATTTCAGAAGAGGAAAGCAGCCCTTTAATGCCTCTCAAACCGTACGATGGAGGGAGTTTCCTCAGTTAGGCCAGTCCCCAGTGGCTAAGATTCCATGTGTGAAGAGGAAGTGTTTTGATCTCCTGATCCTCATTAACCATTTATGTGAAGATGAGAAGAAACATTACCATTTGGTACCATAGCTCATGGGTGACCAACTCTACAAAACAGTTGTGTCAACATTAATGTATGGAACTCAAACTAACAGTGCTCATTTGCCAGTATCTCCCATTGCTGTTCAAATGTGAAAAGATTTGGGATCCTGCGTTTTGCATATTACTTGATGTCACTTGATCCTAAATTGACTACAAGTATAATCACTTGTGCCATATCGGAAGTCAGGCTATCTAGGTATCACCACCCAAGCTTTGATTTCACTGATCTTGGTTAGACCACAGTATTTATTCTTTTATATGTGTACCCAGAAAAGTTCATAGAAAGCAAAAGCAGCATGTAAAATTATAAATGAGAAGTGGTATTTTATGTGATTAAAAAGTTGTATTTTAAATCTGTGCTAGTTTTGAATCACTGAGACAAAATACCAACTGCAAGGAGGAAACCTTTACTTTGGCTCATGATCTCAGGATTTTTAGCCCATAAGTACTTGGCCCCTTTGCTTTGAGCATCTGGTGAGGCAATACATTATGACAGGAGCATGTGGCTGG